ACCCTCAGCTTCCGCATTACCAACTTCGGTAATGCGGAAGCTGAGGGTACTCTGAACGGTAGCATAACACAGAGAGTCTGGAACGAACTGGAAGCCGGAATGAACTGGGTTGGTGAAGTAAATGAGGAGATAACGTAACAATATACAAACGCATACGGACGAAGTCGAGGTCCACCGCCGTTGCCTGAGTTAAACTCTGATCAGATTGAGATCAGGGAATAGAAAACAACGAGGGGAGACAAGTCGAAAAAGGAATGAGGCAAGCGACAGAAAAGAATAAGGAACAGGCGGACTAGGAAATAAACAGGAAAAAAGTCCACAGCCCAGAAGCTGCGTGAAAGAAACGACAGAAAATAGCTTTTTTTTTTCATTCTTTTTTTGCTACTTTAGCTCAACTATTTTGAGTAAAAGGCAATGCCAGAGATCAAGCACTCTTCATTCCCTAGGTTTTTCTCTTCCTCCGAAAACTACCCATAGTTATATATCTCTAGAAGTGCGTGCAGTTGTACATGAAACGGTACAAAGAAGAACCAAGTATGACTAAAATCGCTTCGAGTCCTCGACGGTTTTTCTTTTTTACCCCCCTGTATTTGAAGGACGATAGTGTAGCTCAATAATTCGAAACTGGAATATATAAGCATAGATAGGCCCTGATTAATGTTTTCTCATTGGACTCTTCGCAATGTTAGCGTTCAACCAAGACGAAGACGTGACCTATGATTGACATAACAAATGGCTCAGTAATTTCGTATTTACTATAGCCGAATTAGATCAGCTGAGAACAAAAGCTCGTTCTATGATCGACAGGCCCGATGATTTCCGTTCTTTAGCTTCATTTTTATGTGCTTGTCAAGAACCTTTCCCACCCAGCTTTGCGCGCTAGTGTTAGAAACTAAACGTTATAGAACTATCCGCTTTAAATAGTTGTCGGGAAATCAATGATACAGTTCGCGAATATCGGGGAAGAGCACGGAAAGTAAAACCGAAAGACGGAACTGAAGTATCGTAACTTCGCGCCTCTGTAATGCCTTCGGCGAAATCTATTTCTTAAGGGAAAAACAAAGATTTATACGGATACAATAGATACCCAAAAATAGGCATAGTGACACTATATTATAACACGCTTTGTCTAAACAATGACATAGGAACTATGGAAACAGCCAGCTGTGTCAAAATATAGAACCTTTATTTAATTACCTACAGGAAAATATTACCATCAACAATTTGTTGGTTGTGCGTGTTCAGAAAACGCTGAAATCTTTCTATGGCGATATTCATAACAGAACGTGCCGGTCTATGCAGTCAACAGAAACGGACCACGATTCAAAATGTTGAAATGTTATTGATTGAACTTACGCTATGCGATACTACACTAGTACGTTGTTATACGGTTCCTTTAGCCGTGGTAATTTCTAGTAATAATATGCAAACAATAGGATTGGCTAATAACGAAATCGAATGTTTCTTGCGAATATTATATTGGAGACGTAACAACATCAAACCTGCTGTCCTGTCTCTAAATACGAACAACTCCGCCGGTAAGCAGCAACCCATCTTACCTTTAGTCCAACTAAGGTCACAATGTACGCGCAAACGTGGCCGCCCGTACTACGTCTCATTAGCAATAAATCTGTTTATATAGTTATACAAAGCAAGGAAACACAAACTTCCTTTTATCGTAATGCTCCCAGAGACCCTACCGCCAGTTGATCCTAGCTTGAACGTGGTTTCCAATACCTGCGTGGCATGTTGAAGTGCGGAAGTTATTTTTGAAATTTGAAAACTTCAACATATTACAGTTATTCAAAAACAATATTAACAATACAGGCTACAATAGCTGCGTTCCATAGATAGATAACCGGGTTCTCAATAAAATTATTAAAGTGCATTTTGAATGGGTGCAATGCGACTCAGGTCGAATATTGGAAACAATCAAGCCATAACACCTGCTAAAGGTTAACATCATAAAGAATTCACCACATAAAATCTAAGTTTTATCTTTTTTTTTCTTTATCAAATTCAAGTACAAGGTTTAATTTACATTATTTCGATCTCTGTTCGTAAAGGAAAATATATCTGTGAAGGATGGCACCTTGGCTAGGATGGCACCTGGCCTTGGCTAGACACTTGACAAAACCTCAGGGGGATGAAATTTGAAGTGAGTTCCCTTCTGCACATGCAGGCATAATTGATACCGAAGGAAAAAGCTTGTTTACATGTTTATAGCAACAAATGGCTCCAGCTTCTATAAAACCATATAGACTTCACAAAAATCTCGTAGGATAGCAATTTGTGATTGCACGGTTTCAGAGTTCCGTCGGGCATTCAAGAGGGAGCATCAGGCCGGAAACGATTCGATTATGGCTAGACAATGGGTATTTCGTTTAGTGCTTGGCACCGGCCGTCTGATGGAACGCCTGATAGCGGTACGGAACATAACATCCGAAGCATTAGTTTGAAAAATACATGAAAACGATGTTTCAATTCCATACTACTCTCCAATACCCACCTTTGTTTACAATAAATAAATATGAACGGAATCGATGCAGCAGCGGTTAACAACTAAAATGAAAAAACAAAGCAAGGCTATTTCCTCATGATTATCAAAAACAAGATAAAAAGGCTCCGAGATTCTAGCGCTATATTTACATAAATCCTTTAGAAATACCATCGAAAAACAATAGGACGGGCCATGCTCGACAGACCCTATTTCCCAGCCGTTTACAGTGATGAGGACACAAGATACTACCGTCAATCGGGTAACCGGCGAAGCAGTAGGAACTGTTTTAGAAAACAATGGGTACTCCAAAAGTAAAATGTTGAATTCATCGAAGAAGCCAATAAATACGTCCATCGAATCAGTCTCTTTTTCCAGCCTTAGTAAAAAGTGTTTCTTGATTGTAAGAAACAATATTTCGGTTTAGACGAAGGGACAAAGATGAAGAAATATGCAAGAGGCTAGCACTAACTGATAAAATCGTAACTGCTTGAAGTTCAACTTGAATATCATTGACGCTACCGGAGTTAGAAGCAAAGAGACTTTATCTTTGCAGCTTTTGATTCTTTTGTTGAGAGCATCGATGAACAACTAGTTAATATAGTCAATACGTGCAAGCTAGAACGTTTCATCTCACTAGACAACTCCCGCCTCTGATATGTATAACATTCAAATTCAAAAAATGGTGCTTACTTGATATAAAAAGTCCATTATTGTCCATATAAATATCTGATAGATTTAGTTGTTAAAATAATAATTATTATTATCTGTATATCAATATCGGATAGAAGCACATGTGGTGAGTTTTATATGATAACTACAACGTCTAATTATTTGGCGAACTTCATGTTGGCAGAGAACTATGTTAATGGTAACCTTCAAGTTATTTTGCTGTTGCAACATAGCACTCATTTTAACTGTACACTGAAGCATTAGCCGTTTGAAGCTGACCGGGACGATATTTAAGACCATAAAGCCCTAATCGAAACGCTGTTCCAACCTGTGTCTATAGATGATTCAAAAGAAACAGGCATTCAGCAACCGCTATCCGCTTTGCTGTACAGCTATTTAGAGATCGAGCTGCTTATTTCACCATGAATATATAAAGACCGCAAAAAGATATAGATTCATCCACAATGCTCACGTGAACTTCTTCGTTAATTGAAACCACTCTCCATATCGGCAGCAGTCCCATATTTTCTCATATATGTCACAACTCTTACATTGCTTCTGCTGCTGCTGCTTCTATCTCAGATTGTGCAGTCATAAAAGCATAGGATTTGCCACTGGATCACAGCCCCTGCACAGTTCATTCTTCTTACTATATTTTTACTGTACATGTGTACTATAGGAACTCAAGGAAATTTCCTTTATGTTTGCCCTATACTGTGATATATGCTATACAGACACCATTTTAGGTTCGATCCAAATACTTCCATAGAGACGCTTCGTCGGTGCCAGAAGGATGCAGGTACACAATGAGCGAAGGAGCTAGGCTGCACCACATAATACGAAGTTGAGATTGTTTGCTGGTATTGCTGATAGCGCAAGTGACGAAGGTTATTGCTGGTCCGTACCATACAGGTCAAACTCCAGCTACGATAGTCCGACTAGTTCAAGGAAAAGGCTACGCGTGGCGTGACTTTCGGCATTGTATAGGATCTAGCTAAACAGGATAACGATTCGAGTACACAGTTATTTAACTATTGTTCTTTTTTACTTTTCATGACAACGGTAAATTCGCATGCCTGGTCAAACACCACAGACGCATTATGTTTAAACCCAGAAACGCACACGAAGCGCACGTCAGGTCCTGCCCAGCAGTGGGCCGTGCTCTCCTCCCCCAGAGGGACAAAGTCTACGAACATGGTCAGTCACCAGCGCTGCCGCTAATACCATCACCGGAGCTTTGAGCAAAGGACAATGCCTACAAGAACGCTGGCAGGTAGGAGAAGCGAACATGATTACTGTTCCTCACTCGGAAACGAAAAAACAAAGGCGACAAGAAAAAATCGGCTGTCTTATTCTTATGTCCACTTTCACATGACCATAAGCCTAAGACCATAGCCGGATATAAACACTATATATATAAATACATATATGTTTGATCAACGATTCAATATTCGATGCATATGCAATGCAACAGACAACTATGGAGCGGAAGCAATCGTCCAAGTATCACACAGTGCAAACTTTGCTTCTGGCAGTTTGTGTGCGATTGTAAACGCGACAGGTATACGCTGCTGTAGAGAGTGAACTCCATTTTTTAAGGCTCACACGTATTGTTGTTGGAAGCCGTCGTTCTTTGTGATGCTTTGACAACTTTTCCAGCTAATAATATTACACAGATCATCATATTCATTTTGTATGTAGTACGTTAACGTAGCTGAAATAAGTCAGGTCTTCAGTCATTGCGATCCAAGCAGCTTTATTTTCATTCATGGAAATACATTCATTCATAAGGAATTACGTAAGCAAATGTATCGAATAATAGTATACATACCTGTATTCTTCTTCATTGGGATCGGGGATGGCCTGCAGTGGTGAGAGGATACTCTTGGGCAGCAGTTGCTGCGGAGAAGGGTAGCTCTGCAAGCGACCTCTTTGCGGGGTGACCTCATAAGCGCTGGGATTCATCAGGAAGTCGACAACTGGCGACTCACATGCGCTCATTTTGTCGTTCAATGCCGTACAGCAACCTATCACAACACCGTACGCTCAGACGCGCTAAAATAATGACATCGAAAAAGAATAAGGAAGATTTATGTAACAATGTCTTGCATTCCGTACGTTTACAGATATAACGATAAACCACATGCAACATATCGAAACTCCCACGACAAGCTTGCCCAGTCTTTCTAGCTGATAACCTTCAGATGGATCTTTTCACATTGAATCGGATGGCACAAGACTTGCTTTTTGCCGCTCGGGTCTCTGATGTGGGCCCGGTTTTTGCAGGATCGTGATGCTGCGGAAGTGCCTCTCTGTCTGTCTGTCTGTGTGTGAGTGTGTTTAGGCCTGCGATGATCCGTAAACTCAGACTACAATGATATTAATTCTATCAAAGATGAACGCGAAAAAGGGAATAATAGGAACATTAGCGCACTGGCTAGCACAAAAAGACTTGTAATCCATATGGTAGTCGTTAGCCTCGAAAAGCGGATCGACGCAGATGGTGGCAGCTCGAAACGAGAACTCAAAATAAACAACGATTCCGGCGCTGTGGAGAGCAGCAATAATGGCGTTCTATATAGCGTTGTTCAACGAACTAAGTAAGGACCAAACATTCGCATAGAGTTGATGTTGTCAGCAATGGACAGTAAAAAGAAGGCAGAGATTTACCGCACGATCATCTTTTCGTTGTCGGCTCGTTCTTTGGCTAGCTAGAGCATTTTACCCGCCCCCCAACGCTAACACTTTTGGCCGCACATTCGCTCGTTATTGAACGCGGCGGCCATCACAGTGAATAGCCAGCGATTAGCATGGTGCTAAGCGCCTGACAGCTAGGTTAAGGTAAACCCATCAATAGGCCAGCTATTGCATTCACCGACATCGAATCGGCGGCGAACGAAACGGTAGAAAATGAGAATCGACCTCGTATTACAAAAAGCGCGTGCGAAGAGAGCAGGCCTAGCTGCTGTCCTCGTTCGATTGTTTTCGCGCCTCGCCCTGGCTGGGCGATCAAGATGTAATGAAACGGTCGCCGGTGTTTACCTGGCGGTACACCACTGCACCCATCAACTTTTAGGTCAGAATGTAATTTCCAACTTCTGACCTATAGTGACAATTTCTGACAGACAGTGTGGCGGATCCACTTACACATGTATAGATAGAACAATCTGAAGGTAGGCGACGACGTGGACCGTGACAAATCGTTTTTGCTTGTGATAGCAGACTATAGAAATTCAGAGATTCGACAGCTTAAACTTTTGCCTCATGCGCTAGTCCATTGATGCCGTCAAAATGTCGCAATAGTGCGTTGAGAAAAAATGGTAAGTTGCACGAGGAATATGGACGGCCATTGTTGCATCCAGTACCTACAGGCCTTAAAGCAATTATTCGCTATGGATGTAGTGACTATAGCGATCCTCATACGATGTTCATTTCGGCACTGGTTCAATCTACGGTGGAAACCGAAGAGCAGCCGCGATACTGTAGTAGAATCTTACGGAATGATCTGTTTCAGTACATCCGCAGAATATACAGAGGCCTGAGTAGAAGTAATGGGTTGCCCTTCCAACGTAAATTTCCATATCTGGCCTTATTTCAGTGATGGTTATCAGAACAGTCATGATGATTGTAACAGTCATCATTCCAATGGCGTTAGGCAGACGTGTACGTAGAGAGCTACTTTCTAACGATTACAAACCACAGTACGGTGCTTTTAGCTTGGCAAGCAAAGCAGTCTGCTTGGACAGCATTTTTATTGTTCGCTCCGCACCGTTCGCGCGGATGCCGCCTTAACGCTTTAAGCACCCACACATCGTAAAACACCAATCCGAAAGCGTGGAAGTGGTAAAATGACTCGTCTGAGATCAGCCGCTACCATGAGAGAGTACGCGCTATCGTTTCAGAGAACGAACCCCGTAGCGTATACTTGCTTTGATCAGTGTGTGATATGTGTGACTGAAACATATGCATTAACAACGATCGTGACAAACAGGAACAAACTTCTAGCAAAAGTAAAAATAACGGTAATCACAAAAGGTACAAATATAAGGTTAATAACAACATGCATTCCTAACAGAATGTGATTATAAATACAGTGAATTTTAGCATGTTGGGTTACCTTTGTACGAACACAAAAAACGTATTGTACGCTAGAGACCAACTAATTAAAAAGAGATCAGTACCTATCTCCTCTATTTGATTCAATGATGGTGACAGTCTTTGCACTCTCATGCACCGCATTTAGCTTCGGGAAAGAGCATACACGAAGCTCTCGGTTTAACGTACCGATTTGCTAAGACACACACATATACGCTCTTTATTCTGCTTACTAACGATTAGTCGGATCGGCTGCTAACCTACCGCCCTACTATGAGTTAGGTCGAGAGCGATTTCAAGCAGGCCGAGCGCTTTTTGTCTGCCTTACCCACTTACAGGAACCAGTTATTGTTCGCTTATTGTCTAGAATGAATGTGCCACTTCCACGTGAACATCAGCTCAAGACCTATACAGTACTTTTACGTACTAGCGCAAGAATGAGACAGGGCTGGAAGCACAGCTACACCTTCAGCAATAGTTACTAAGGATGTTGACTGTTACAATGACAGTGAGTGAATAGGGCAAGGTTCATCAGCCCACCCGGTTGGGTCTCGCACAGCTGAGCTGGAGACCGCCATCACCGTCACCATCATAAAGTCCGTTCAGCCTAGCGTCGTTAAGCCCGGTTAACGTCAATCCGTGCAAACCATCAACAAGATGACCACCAGAGCTAGTCCGTTGTCAGTCGCTCTATATAGCCTATAGCATCCTATCATATGTTCTTGTAACTAGCAGTATCAGATGGCACTGCGGTCGTCGCTTAACGGCCTTTGTATAGACTCCTGATGCAACGGTAGCCAAAAGTTTTCTAGCCATGCGCGTACCATAAGACCTTGACCGTCAAATAGCAGGCGCACACACTACATCAAAGTTAGCGAGAACAGAAGAGTGGCACTTCGTTGACGTCCATATATTACATACATTCGTGCGAGCATACTCGTTTATGTTCGGCGCGAAAACGATTGTACGACAATGATACATCGGTAGACGGCTGCCCGAGATACTGCCGCACACTAAAAAAAGAGGCCGTACGCTCACTCGAGTACAGGCTCTGGTACGAAGCTGTGCCTAGCTGCCGATGGGCTTGCTCTACTAACTATTATTTTCTCGTCGTCTAATGACAGAGGCCAATGAAATAGCTATCGATACACTGACTGCATCAGCAGGCCGTTAGCAAACCAGCCAGGTAATTCGCTCTCAACCAGGACTAGCAAACTGAGTGGGGAGAGAACGAAACTCTGAAAACTCTGGCTACCGGCATTGGCGTTGTAGACCTACTATCAGCTAATTCTTAAGAGAATCGATAAACTAAATGCTAGACGATGAAAAAAAATTATAAAAACTTACTGATACAGCACCACCAAATGTGAAACGCTTACTCCAGTTAAAGAATAGAATTGTCTGAAAGTCGCGCGTGCGACCGATGCGCGCAACAAGCAAATTAGTTCACTTTTAAGGAACGCGCACCTCTTGGTCTAAAGCGAGCACTTCGCTGAAAGCGATGCATGTTAATAGATACGTCGGCACCGCATTCTGAGACGTTACACGGAAGCGTACTTTTTCGTGGACCTACGGCAGGTATGGGCTCATAAACTTCACGACCATTAACGCATCCTCTGATGGGAAATTATTGCTAATTGTTTTTTACTCAATTGATGAAACTGACGCAATGAACATGACAATACAACAATGGAGAGTATTTGCTGCCAGTAGAAAGTAAGAAAATGCTAAAAAGAAATGAAAATACTCGATAAGCACTTGTTTTCATAAGGTTTTTTAGATATATCGATCAAACAAACTGGCATCATACTCTTCACGCTTTTCACCAAATAGCAAATCACTTACATTTTATGCGGACATACACAGTAAACACGGTAATAAACACACGCAGTAAAGCTCAAAACAAACAGTTGACTTAGATGCAGAGCTAAATGTGGGCATTCGTCCTCCTTCCGGTCTCAATACGGCAGCGTCCGAAGTCGCATGAACTAAATTTGGGTTATATAGGTTGTTCAACGGAAATAATTATATAATAATAATAATAACACAGAATGCTGAGTGCAAGAATAGCTGGTGATCCAGGATAACAGAATATAACGAGACGCACAGTTCCCTCATTAAACTTACATACCGTTACAGCTGAACCAGTTGCTCACGTTGTTGTCCATGACTGCTTCTTTCCAACAAGTTCTGAGTACTTGTTAGAAATGAGTTCATATATTCCGCCGATTAGCTGTGAACTTAATAATAGATAACAGGCATCATTAATAGAACAGCCAGCATATCTTTTAAAAGAAAATCGCTTAATGAAAGCGTGGCAGTGATCCTCTTCATCGAAGACTTTCAATGTCTTGTCATTACACTATTTACTCAGACTTCGTAAGAGTTCCCTCTTGTGCGGTTGGATCATTTGTAGTGAAAGAGTCTAATGTAATAGATCTATTGAATGAACCGGACGACCGGGCGGACGCGCAAACAGAAGGTCACCGTGAATGAATTTGCCACACGAATGGCGTACAAATAGAGTGGCGTTCCACCGTAGTCACTGCTGCTGCTGTTGCCGCCACTGCAGGCTCGACACCAATGCTGTCTCCTTTCTTCTGCCAAATGCTCCTCTCAGACATATTCTGTACTATAGAGAGGGAATTGCATCGAAGAACGAATGTTTGTTAGTCCATGAAAGAAAACGCGAGCGCCGGAGAGAACACAAGACCCATTTGGCGACGAAGCGCTCTAGAGCAGTGCTTTTTGCATGTATCGGTCTGGATGTGCATGCATCTATCAATGTACGAGGGCCCATCGAGAAGTGGCGAGCCTACCATACGAGAAGCCTCTGCTCACCGTGCTTTCTGCGCGGCGCGGTCAGCCAGACAGCAAATAACAGCCAGCAAAAAGCAAGGGAAACTCGGCCACGCGTCTATATTGTTGGTGCGCGACCGCGCCACTACATGTGTGTATGT